AGGAGTCGCCTCAACTCGATTGTTAGTTAGAGTTAGAGCGCGCGCTCTCCAACTCACTCAGTCTGTATCAAGCGGTTGATGGAACGTGAGACGTTTGATTGATGAAATTTTTAAAATTAATTAAGCCGATATTACACGGATCAATTTCGGTTCAATACTGCTTTCAATTTCATTGCTTCAATGGCATTGATACATCTAAATACATTTCAATGCGATCGCGTAATCACATTGAAAGCTTAGATTCAACGAACGCTTTCAATGCAATGGTAGCAATATTGGCCATTGTTCAATGCGGTTGAAACGTGTATACATGAAGATTGAAAGATGACTCATTCCACGCACCGCACGACACCTATTTTGCGTGCGCACAAAGATTTTGTGGCGTGAAAATGGGTTTTCAGAAGTTTCATTATATTGACACTCTGTCATTCACAAATGGTTCAAATAAGAATTTGGATCTTCTGCCAATTATACTAATAAGATGCTTGAGGCTCCTTTAGTTATCCTTCTCAAAATCCACGGGCACACCCACCAACGCCGAGAGTTTCTTTTTTTGGAACGAAGTTTGAACGGACGGTACGGGTTTGGCGCATGGGAGCTAGGCGACAAGAAGTGTAAGATATTTTCGTCACTACCCCTTGTGTCATAGTGTGCAAAATTTTTTTATTTGTATTATTTATTTGTTTGTATTTGTTAATCAATAATATAATACGTTTATCAATAATACAATACACTACGAAAGGAACTTTATTTTTTATTTTAAATGACGCTTCATTTTAATAGACGCTAGTTATTTATTTATTTGTATTTATTTTGTTAATCAATAATATAATACGTTTCTCATTAATAATATACTATGAAAGGAACTTCGTTTCAACCGAGTGTTCCACGACACTCACGCATGTTTTTTTATTATTTAACACATTTATTAAATAGTAGCAGATAGCAGATTAACGAAATTTCCGTTGTTGGCGCGACATCTCATTGCGCTGTGAACATTGAATGGCATTTAAATGATTTACGTGTATATTGGTAAAGCCGTTCAATGTGCAATGTTCAATGCTTTTCAATGGAATTGTTTCAATTTGGTTGATCCGTGTAATATCGGCTTTATGCCTTCATAAGCATTGAAATACTGTTCAAACAACTCGAGAAACATAAGTAAAGGCAAGGAGTGACGTTTCACCAGTAAGTTCAACATATTAGTATCTTTAAAACACGCTTAATTTAATTATATTTTATCAACTGCAACGAATATGTGACTGTCAAAGATTAAAACATTTTTATGCGCAGACTTGACACTATCGACGCATAATGTTAAGTAAATATGACCAGTAAAATTTTTATATATAATCACGGTAGGAAATGTTAATGCATTAAAATAAATATATTTCTCGGCCTTGTCATGAAACATAAGAATAATGGATCAAATTTGTTCAGAAGAATTGCAGCGAAGAAACGTGGTTACCGTCAGATTATTCAAGTATATGTTCCATGCATTTAAAAGATAACGACAAATACACCATAAAAACAGGAAGAGTGTACTTAAAGAAATCTGCAATACCATCATCATCATCATCATTACAGCCTTTCATAAGTCCACTGCTGAACATAGGCCTCCCCCAAGGAATGCCACAAAGCACGGTCCTGAGCCACCTGCATCCATCGACTTCCGGCATGTCTTACCAGGTCGTCACTCCATCTCGTGGGGGTCACCCTACACTTCGCCTACCGGTACGAGGCTGACAGTCGAGGACCTTTCTTCCCCATCGGTTGTCGGTTCTTCGAGTTATATGGCCGGCCCACTGCCACTTCAGCTTACTAATCCGTTGGGCTATGTCGGTCACTCTGGTTCTACTGCGGATATCCTCATTTCTAAGTTTATCACGCAGAGAAAATCCGAGCATAGCCCTCTCTATAGCTCACTGAGCGACCTTGAGCTTCCTCATACGGCCAGCAGTGAAGGACCACGTCTCAGATCCGTAAGTCATCACTGGCAACACGCAATGGTTGTACAAGTTCGTTTTAAGGTTTTGAGGAATGTCTGACGAGAAGATGTGTCGTAGTTTCCCGAACGCTGCCCAGCCGAGTTGAATCCGTCGATTGACCTCTCGGTCGAAGTTGGACTTACCTAGTCGGACTATTTGTCCCAGGTAAACATACTCGTCAACAACTTCGAGCTTAGTGCTCCCAACAACTGCTGGCATAGGTGTGACATGGACATTGAACCTACTTTTATATCTTTAAGTAATTATAATGAAAAATAACCTGTTACAATGTAATAACAGTGAAAAATCACCTGTTACAGTGTAGGTAATAGATAATCTCTATTTTACTTATTCTACAATAACTCAGCTTCTAGATTGACAATCTTTTCAGCTATTAATTGTTTATATATACGCTTTCAAATGGTACTTTCATTTTGTTAACACTTGGGCCCAAGAATGTATGGAGACGTCTTCTTCTCCTTTTATATTATTTTGTCAATTTCATCAGCTGCACTACTTAAAAGACACTACCCACATCAATAAAAATTGTTATTTTAAGTTTTTACCTTATTTTCTAACTCAGGCTTAACTTACAACTTCTTGAATATAATATCTTTAACAGTACAATTTTTTTTAATGTCACAAGCCTATAGCACTCTCCTATCACTGTAAGCCAGGATCTATAATGGTTTTGTCCTTGAATACCACCAGACAATGAAGCCCGGTATGTAAAAGAGAAGACTTGCTGTATTGCTAAATATCAACACAGCAAGTATCCTCAGCATGTTCATAAGGAACACAGAAAATCTCATCATCATGCCTACAAAAATTTCCCACCCTTCCACATAAAGTAGGCTACTTAGCATAGTTCGTATATGCTACTCATTTTTGTTGGTATGGGTACAGTATCTTTGACTGTTTTACCTCCTTACATATTGTAAATGATTAAATGGGCATCCTGTATATTATTTTTATCGATAACCCCAATCGATAAACGTCGTCAATCACTAACTTATAGTGACGCTACAGGATAACAGAGGGCGCTTAGTACAATAAAAATAAATTTTCTAGAACAATCTACTAGAAATAATAAAATTTAAAGATTATTCAGTAAATATACGTTATACTTGCGATAACAAACCAAAATCACGTTCATTTTTTTGCTCCATATCGTGACTTACAATATCTTAATGCACAACCGGGCATATTTTCTATAAAAATATTTTTTAAAGAGATGAAAAAAATTCGTCTTGACTTCATGACGATGTCACTAAGACTAACGGAGATATATCCTATAGAACATAAGTTACAGACGACAATTTTGCTGCTGATGTCCGGTCTATTACTACTACTACTTAAATGTCTTTGAGCTTCATGGACTGAAATTAAACTTCACAAACAGATATAGAGCGATGCCAGGAGTGACGTAGGCTAGTAGACTAGTTCTTTGTTTTGTAAACTGCGATCGTTGTTTTCGACAATCTAACACTGATTTTGTTTAATGTGACTAAGAATACGCTGTCATTATTTATGTGCGCTGTTTGTCAACGTGATTTGAAGTTTATTTCATATAAGTGTGTAACGTATTTGCCTAAAAGCAGTAACTGTCGTAAATGAAAATATAACCGCGTGGCATATTTACCGTGCCGGCTACCCGCGATCCACAGCTGTCACACGGTTTTTATTCTGAATGGCCGCTCGAGTAGTACACAAGTCTTTGACTTATATAGAATTTAACAAAAAGTTCAAACAATCGTGAAGATACATTTCACTTTACAACAACACCTAACTAAACAAAGCCTCTGCAAGAAAACTGCCTTACAGTACTTAAACTGTAAAGTTTTTAGTACAAGTCAAGGTACAACTAATAAAAACAATGTCCACACGTTAAAATAAATAACAAAATCATTTCCTCCATTAGCGTAAGATAATCTATAAGATCAAAGTAAACCTAAGATTTGAAAAAAAACAAAAGTAGTGATGTAAATGTCTTTCACTTTAATTTATAGTTAGCTGCCACGGCAGGAGTTTAATGTTTCAGTTTCACTCCGAATTCAGTCTGGACATTTTACAGTGTAAATATAAAATGTATTAATAAACTCGACTACAAAAGCCATCTTGTACGGAATAATAGACCGAGTAAAAAAACCTTTACGTGCCTTATGTGCTAATTGAAACTGCATTTATTCTGAAGAAGCTGATTCAAAAACCAAAAAAATTGAACTTTAAAATATGAAACAAATGGGAGGTTAGTGGAAACAGACCAGACCATGTTTTTTATTTAATTGATTGCTAATGTTTTTTTTTTTCGTTTCGACGTTGTGTTCTTGTTAGAGAGCCTATTAAAGTCAACTGCTGGTGCTGAACATAGGCCTCCCCCATAAATTGCCTCATAGGGGGGGGATATTTGCCATAGTTGCCACGCTTGGCAAGCGGGATGGCAACACAGTTTTTTTTTATTTTCTTAGGAATACGGTGCTGCACGTCTTCTGATTTGTTTCTTTCTGTCGCATCTAGACACACACGGGATGATAAGGGCTAGTAGATATTCTTATATCTATATCTATATATTATATCTAGGCGACGGAGGAAATAAACCAGGAGATGGGCAGCAGCGTCTTCCTAATAACAAATAAAAATGAAAAACCGCGGTTGCCAACCCAACATGCATGGCAACTATGGCAAATATCCCCCCTATGAGTCAATCCGTGGGGGAGACCTATGTTCAGCAGCGGACTTTTATAGGCTGTAACGGTAACGATAAATGTCGAAACGAATAAATAAAAACAAACTAGTATGATTTAAATAAATTAAAAAAAAAAACATGAAGTCTAGTCTGTTTCCACTAACCACTCGGTACATATTTCAAGGTTAGATTTCATTTGGTTGTTTCTTTGGTTTTTGAATTAGCTTTTTCAGAATAAATGCAGTTTCAATTAGCACATATGACACGGAAAGGTTTTTCTACTCGTTCTACAGTTACATAAGGAACTCATGACAAATGGATTTTTATCTAGTATACTTTTATATTTATATAAAACACGTTTACATAATATTGCCCATATTTTACCAGATCTCTCACAAAAAAGGTTCTGCTCAAGTGTGTGTTTTCATATGCCTTTGCAAATGACTTTTTTGAATACATTTATATTTACAGATATGACACGAAAAAGGTTTTTCTCCAGTGTGTATTTTCATATGCTTTTGCAAATTACTTTTTCGAATACATTGATATTTACAGATATTACACGAAAAAGGTTTTTCTCCAGTATGTATTTTCATATGCCTTTGCAAAGTACTTTTTTCTATACATTTATATTCACAGATATTACATGAAACAGGTTTTTCTCCAGTATGTATTTTCATATGCTTTTGCAAATTACTTTTTTTAATACATTTATATTCACAGATATTACATGAAAAAGGTTTTTCTCCAGTATGTATTTTCATATGTGATTGCAAATCACTTTTTCGAATACATTGATATTTACAGATATTACACGAAAAAGGTTTTTCTCCAGTATGTATTTTCATATGCCTTTGCAAAGTACTTTTTGTAATACATTTATATTCACAGATATTACATGAAAAAGGTTTTTCTCCAGTATGTATTTTCATATGCTTTTGCAAATTACTTTTTTTAATACATTTATATTCACAGATATTACATGAAAAAGGTTTTTCTCCAGTGTGTATTTTCATATGTGATTGCAAATGACTTTTATGAATACATTGATATTTACAGATATGACACGAAAAAGGTTTTTCTCCAGTATGTATTTTCATATGTCTCTGCAAACTATCTTTTTTAATAGTTTTATAATCACAATTATTACAACAGTACACTTGTTCAGCGACGTGCGCTTTAAGATGTGCCAAAATGCAAAGTTTTTGAGATGTTTTAAATTCGCAAATATCACAATTAAATATTTCAGTTAGTTGTGGTACTGGAGTTTGTTCAACTTGTGTCCGAACTGCAGTGGTGTTCTTTTGGTTCTTTTGCGTCTTATGACTGTATGAAATGTGTTTGGCGAGAATGTCTTTTGTTGAAAATTTTTTGCTACAACCATAACATTGAAAAATGTATTTTGTTGATGCCCCTGACGTTTTTTTCGTAGGTATATTTACACTCTTTTGTTTCAATATTTTCTTTCTCATAATATTTGCAGGATGCTTTCCTTTTTTATTAATTGGTTGATTATCTTTTTTGACTTTAGGCTTTGATTTAATAGTAGGGCTTTCTAAATCAAGGTTTCCTTTACAAACATCGTTTATGTTACAATCAGTAGAATTTGATTTAATCTTGCTCACAGACACTTTTGAAAAATGATTTGTCGGTATGATGTATGGTTCTGAAATACACACGAATTGAACATTTAATTTATTATAAGTAAAACTTTTTATTGTAAGACACCTTAAACGCATTCTCTATCAGTCAACCAGGGAGAAATAGATAAATTATAAAATTACATAATTATACAATGTTGCTAGATATAAAGTATTTTACTTTTAATAATGTCTCTCATATTAATTTTTGGAGGGAAAGAATGGTAGAGAAACTAAATTCGAATGATAATGATGACGTTCTTCTCACCATGTTACAATTACCTACATTAATCTAATAATAGGTGCTTCGAATCGCACACGGGACAAGCATTATACAGAATGATTGGAAGATTGACTTGTTGATTGAAGAAGATCATTTAGGACATAGTTATTTTAGACAAAGTCTGACTATACTTTTTGTTTTTGGTGATAAAACTAAAAATTTTACAGTTAATTGCTAATAATTGCCAATTTAATTAACGTCTTTTTTTTTTAAATTTAAGTAATGAATAAGAAATCTAAGAAAACATAGTCTCAGCATCTGTGTCATCAGACATATTTTTGTACAGACACTAAGTTCACGAAAATTTTCTACTATTTAAAGAAACATAATTAACATTTTAAATAATAAACATTTTTGACACTACGTTAAAAAAAACTGATGGTACTTTAATTTATTGTTAGAACCTTTTTGAAAACATACTTGGTTATTACTCTTTCATTTGAGGTATAACTTACACGCATTTGTTACAAATTTTTCAATTGTCCACTAAAACCAGATTGAGGTAGAAAATTTAAATTTTTAGGCAGACTAATAAAAATTCTAATTATTTATTTGTTGATGCTCAAAATAATTGATGCGATTACTAACTAACACAAGCACGGGCCCGTCGTCTCACTTCTGTTGTAGTTACTTTCAACATCATGGTTTCAAATGCTGAATTAATTCTTTGAAATTTGAAATTCCGGCCATATAGCTCGAAGAAATGACAATGAATGAGGAAGTTTTACGAGTGGCAGCCTCGTACCAGTAGACAAAGTGTAGGGCGGCCCTCCATTAGATGGAATGATGACCTGGTAAGAAATGCAGGAAGGCGATGGATTCCTGTGCTTTGTGGCATTCCGTGGCTGAGACCTATGTTCAGCAGTGGACTTGTGAAGGCTGTAATGATGAAGATTTAATGATGCAATGCGCTCATCTTTTCATTTTAATTTTTATAGGATAGGGTGACAAACGAGCACACAGTCCACACGATGGTAAATGGTCGCTGTGACCCATAGACATCTACATCTGTCCTCAATAAAGAATCCAGTAAAAAGTGTATCTGGTTCTCTACAATCACCATACGAAACACAGCAGTGTTAAGCTGCTATTTTACACTAGTATTCTGTGAGAGCATGGTCCTTCCCCGGTCGAGCCGACCCATTCGTGCTATAACTATACTACTAATATAGCTGCAGCATGGCTCTACCATAACTAAAATGGAATGACCCACAGCCTGTGATTATTCTGACTCTATACCCATCAGAATGGAACACAGCAGTGCACGCACTGCTATTTGACGGCAGAAATAGGTAAGAGGAAGAGGGAGGAGTCCATCTAGGCAGGCACAAATAGATCAACTCCTAGGCAAACATGGAGTCACACCACCTAGTACTGACACTAAGAAGATGGCAAAGATAATTCGTTGCTTACCAGTATGTATCTTTGTGCTTTTGACATGCGCTTTGAATTTAGACAAAGGCAAATCAGTAAATCAGTACATTACACATGAAGCCGGGGAATGGAAAAACCAAATGAACGAGGTAAAGTTTTAGTTGAATATTTATTTAGTACTAACCTAACCATTTTAAACATAGGTTCTGAACCTACTTTCATAAACAAACGCTGTCGCACTATAATCGACCTCACACTTGCAACAGAAGGAGCAGCCAAACTAATTACGGGATGGCATGTGCGAGAGAGGCCTCATGCTCAGACCATAGATGGATCTGCTTCGCACTACAGGTCGATATCCCCTCTACACCACCATGGAGAAATCCCCGCAAGACAGATAAAACAAAATACCTAAATAGGCTGACGTCTTTGCTAGCGGATTTTGAGGGGATAAATACTATAGCAGATCAGTCGCTCCTAGAAGAACAGGTAGCAGCTGTTACTAAGGCCATGATAGACAGCTACCATGAATCATGTCCAGAAATCACTCCACCAAGACATGCCGAGGTAAAACAACCGTGGTGGGGTAAAGAACTCGATAGAAAACGTAAGAAGGTAAGGAAAGCTCTAAATAGGGCCATGAATACCTCAATGGATGAAGACTGGCTATTATATAAGAAAGCTAAGTCTGAATACAAAAAATGTATCAGGTATCGACGCTCGATTGGGTGGCGTAAATTCTGTGGCAACATAGAAACCTGCAAACAAGCAAATAGGATTAGGAATATTCTAGCTAAACAGAACACGTCGGGATCCATGTCTCTAAAGAAACCCGACGGTAGCTACTCAACATCGCCGGATGAAGCCCAACGCATCCTAATTGAAACGCACTTCCCAGGTTGCTGCGTAACCCAGGAGGCAAACCGGCATGACGACATACTGACATCAACAGCAGAAGACTGGAATTTAGCACAGAGAGTGGTAACGATGGACAAAATCCATTGGGCCATTCACAGTTTCCTCCCCTATAAGGCGGCAGGACCCGACGGCATATTCCCGGCACTCCTACAGTGGGGGGGTAAAGCCCTAATAGTCAGACTTGCTGCCATAATGCGAGCTTGTCTTGCTCTTAAATATGTTCCTAGGGGATGGAAGGAAGTGAAAGTTACATTCATACCCAAACCAGGTAAGAGCGACTACACTGACCCTAAATCCTACAGACCCATTAGCCTCACATCCTTTCTCCTAAAGACGATGGAGAGGATGTGTGAAAGGGAATTAAGGGGGTCGGCGCTAATGAACTTACCACTACACGACAAGCAACACGCCTACAGTCTAGGCAAATCAACAGAATCGGCCCTTCATAAGGTAATTACAAAGATTGAAGAGGCCATCCAAAACAAAGAAATATGTCTAGGTTCCTTCATAGATATAGAAGGTGCTTTTGACCGAACGAACTTCTCCAGCATAAAAGGTGCACTCGGTAGACACAAAGTTGAACCGGCACTGATCGACTGGATAGTTTACATGCTCAGTACACGAATAATAAAGATTGCTGGTGAATCTCAACCAATCCAAATTAAGAAAGGCTGCCCGCAGGGTGGGGTTCTCTCACCTCTCCTGTGGAATATGGTCATTAATGAACTCATCAGCAAATTAAATGACAATCACTTCTATACAGTAGGTTATGCTGATGACCTGACAATACTGGTCTCTGGAAAGACAGCAAGCATAGTGTGCGACCTGACCCAAGCGGCTCTCCGTATAGTGGAGAGATGGTGCAGGGAACACGACTTAACCGTCAATCCAAATAAAACGGTTTTAGTTATGTTCACACAAAAACGAAAGCTGAATAACTATCATCCTCCAAGTCTTTTTAGCACAAAACTCCAGCTATCCTCTGAGGTAAAATATTTAGGTCTTACCTTGGACAGCAAACTTAACTGGAATAAACACATAGAAAACAAAATCAACAAAGCTAGTATAACTTTCTGGCAATGCAGAAACATGATTGGCAAAAGATGGGGATTGACGCCAAAAATCATACTGTGGCTTTACAAAACTGTAATTCGGCCCATGATCACATACGGCGCTCTGGTATGGTGGACCAAGACAAATGAAGCCACCATAATTAAAAAGCTTCAGCGCTACCAGAGACTGGCATGTATGGCTGCCACAGGCTGCATGAGAACTACGCCAACAGCAGCCTTAGAAGCGATGCTGGAGCTAACTCCGCTTCATCTACATATACAACAAGAAGCGACTTTAGCTGCCATCAGACTCAAGACCCTAAATCTTTGGAGTAAGAATAGTGTCCCTCATACAGGCATAATTGATAGAATTCACTCAAAAATTCCTATCCTACAAGCCAAATACGATAGGATTCCTAAACAATTTTTTTTCGATAAGAAATACAAGATACAGTTAAATGAAAACAGCCAGCCGGAAGGATTAAGCCCAAAAGAGCTTAGAATTTTCACCAATGGTTCTAAAACAAATGAAGGTGTAGGTTCTGGAGCTTTCTCTGAAGACCTCAATATTCACATATGCACACCGCTGGGTACCTATAACACGGTCTTTCAGGCGGAATGTATGGGTATCATTCAAGCGGCCATAGCAATAGATGCTAGGAAGGTTAATGACTTCCCCATCAGAATACTGACCGACAGTAGGGCGGTACTCCAAGCCCTGAGATGCAATGTGGTGAACTCGGGACTAATATATGAATGCCATCAACGATTAAATGAGGTATGTAAAAACAACAATGTGACCCTGCAATGGATAAAGGGACACAGTGGATCCAGAGGCAACGATGCAGCAGACGAACTGGCTAGAAGAGGATCGGCTTTGGCCACTATAGGGCCGGAACCAATCATACCAATCCCCTTTGGTAACGTTTGTTCACTGGTACGTAGACACTTCACTAATCAACACGCTCAGCGTGAAAAATCTAGTAGACTGTAGACAAGCTAGGGATGCCCTGCCTGAAATTTACAGTCGCTTAACAAAAGTTTTAATGAGACTGAACAAGCCGCAGATTAGGATAGTAACAAGTGCTATCACAGGACACGGCACCTTTAACAAACATTTATTTACTATAGGTGTTACAGATAGTCCCCTGTGCAGGGCATGTATGGGGGAGGAAGAAACGGCGGCCCACGTGCTACTGAAATGTCCGGAGGTCGCTACATACAGGGCTAAACATCTCGGCACGCTGGGATCACTCCCCGAAGTTGCATGCAACATCAAGGGCCTGTTGAGCTTCTTCGGAGAGATCTCATGGCTCGAATAATCACATTATTCCTGCCCACACGCAAAATACGCGCATAGACGTGGAGTTGCGGAAAACAGCCCGTCGTAAACTAAACTAAACTAAACTACACATGAAGCCCTCTTTATTTTATGTCTACGGGCTACAGTAACCACTTGCCATAAGGTAAATTGTACCTTATTTTAATAATATCAAGAAAAGGGGTATATCTTACCTGTTTCATGATTCTCATTTTCTTCAAATTTGGAATTCTCATATTCGAAAATCTCTTCCTCAACTTTAACGGCATCAAGGCAAAAAATTTCGTCCTTGCAATCATTGTCTATATCACACTCTACAGGCCAGATATCTATATGATAAATTGGTGTGAATTTAATCTCACCTCTAACCTTATGCGGTTTTGGTATAGACTGAAAGGAAATAAGTTTTTCAAATAAGAGAAAAAGCCACTATAGTGGTGGAGTAGGAGAACCCATACTACCCCCTGCCATCCCGCAGATGTCGTAAAAAGGGGCAGAGGGAAACTGAAACAGGAGATCGGGGGGCAGCATCTTCCTGACAACAACTTCAAATAATAATAAACACCGGATATATATATATATATATACTCAACTCGCAGCCTTTCTTTTAAAGCTGTTCATTTTTGTTGCGAGGTCCAGAAATGTATGTATTACGTACATACCTCCAACTTTTTCAACTTCCTTATCAACTCTGTAAATTTTCGACTCTACACAGAGCTTTACTTTTTAAATCGATCAATTGCATTTCTAGAGATCCAGTATCAACCCCAAATGGCTCAGTATGGATCGATTTATAATTTTTTTTTATAAAATAAATAATATTTGCGTAAGAAACTAAAGAGCCGCAGCTTCACATCCAAAGAGCCGCATGTGGCTCGCGAGCCGCAGGTTGCCGACCCCTGCACTATTCTATATACCTATCCACGGGATGGGTGTCGTAAGAGGCAACAGAAGGAATCAGAAACAGAGGTAGGGCGGCCGCATCTTCCTGATGACAACTTAGACTAATATAAACTACGGTTGCCAACTTGCCAAGTGTGGCAAATTTGGCATAATCCCTCCTATGAAGCAATCTATGAGTGAGACCTATGTTCAGCAGTGGACTTTTATAGGTTTTAATGGATGGAATGGATAATACCATGGATTCTCCTGAAAGCAACTGCTCCAGAACCACATTTGACTCAATAGCCTGTTGTTGTAATCTTCTGCAACAAATGAGTCTTGCATGACAGGTGAAACAGACAATTATTGGCCACTCAATCTCATCCAACTGAAAATATGAAAATCTTCATAAATATGAAATAGTATTCAAATACAGTAGAACGCCGATTATCCGAACGCCGATTAACCGAATCGCCAATTATCCGAATCGGTCCTAGCTTAATATAAAAAATTATAACCAAGTACAGTAAGTAACATTACTAAGATTACTTATACAATACTTGGTTAACTGATATTAAAAATAACAGTGAAAAAATTTTAAGTTTTGTGACCGCGTTGAAAAGTGGTGATGGATGTTCGTCGCGAAATGTAATAAAAATGTAAAAGATGAACAGCTTGAGAATGCTGTTTTTACGTGGTTTCTGCAGCAACGATCTATTGGACAACCGATTTCAGGATCAATTTTATGTGAAAAGGCGCGAATGTTCAGTGAAAAAATGGGTGTAACTGGGTTTACTCTTTAAAAAACTTTATAAAGTGTAAAACCATTTATAAACTTAATAAAGTTTATTCTATGTGTGACAGTTCGTTTTTCTATATTACATACCAGTCTATGTCCGATCATCCGAATTTTCGATTATCCGAATCGACCCCGGTCCCAATTAATTCGGATAATCGGCGTTCTACTGTATATAAGTTTGTAATAAAGATTATTGGCTACCACATTTTAATTTGTCAACATCATTTTTTACAATATTAAATTGACAAATAAACTTACCATCTAGTAAGTGACTAATGGGCATCATGGGCACCTGAAATGAACTTCAAGCAATGGCTACAGGTGCAATGTTACCTCTGAGGACTAAGATGTAATGCATCACAGCCAGGCTCTCGATGTCCTTCAGACTGGAACACATACTTCTGCTTGGTGCCAGAAAATGGTAAGAGGATAATATCTTGGCAGAAAGAAACTCCTACAGTTCCAAGCCACCTACATCCATCAGCTAAATTACCTACATTAATTTCAAATTGCTATCATCACTAAGAACATTACAAATACTTCTCTTATCACTCTAAGTAAACTGATAATGCTTGTGGTAGGAGGATATTGAAACAAAACACAGGGTGGTGGGTGGTACTACATTCTGTGAAAGTGTAGTACCACCCCGGTCGAGCCGACCCATCCATGATACAACCATAATATAGCTGCAGCCCGGCTCTACCACATATAAAATAATGATAATAATTCTTTCTACTCTATTCTCTCATTTTAATTTCTTGATAGAAAATCACAATAATGTCATTCAAGTAATATGTACTAGAACAGACACCAGGAACAAAATCTATGCAGCAGTGCGGGTTGCATGGAAGGAATGGAAGGAGAATGTAGTACAATTAAGACACAGATATTTGACACTTCACTAATCTACACGCTCAGCTTTGGAAAAATTTAGTAGACTGTAGACAAGCTAGGGAGGCCCTGCCTGAAATAAACAGTCGTTTTACCAAAGTTCTAATGAGACTGAACAAGCCGCAGATCAGGATAGTAACAAGTGCTATCACAGGACACGGCAACTTTAACAAGCATTTATTTACTATAGGTGTTACAGATAGTCCCCTGTGCAGGGCATGTCTGGGGGAAGAAGAAACGGCGGCCCATGTGATATTGAAATGTCCAGAGGTCACTACGTACAGGGTTAAACATCTCGGCACGTCGAGATCACTCCCCGAAGTTGCATCAAAGGACTGTTGAGCTTCTTCGTGGAGATCTCATGGCTCGAATAAGCATATTATTCCTGCCCCTTCGCTAAATACGAGCATAGACGTGGGGTTGCAGAAATCAGCCCGTCGTAAACTATACTAAACTAAGACCCAAATACACTAGCGGCCATTTTGTCCCGCAAGATGATGTGGAACACTCAATCTACATGACGATGCTACATTGCACAGTGACCCAGAACATTGTAAGTGACATGGGACATGTTGCTTGTTCCCTCTCCGAGAGAGAGTGCACGTGTCCGGCGTCAGTGTGACGTCATTCGTTACCGGGTATTGTTGTGTGTACAACTTTACTTGCAACATGTCAATTGTGTGGGGAAATTAAACCGTGCTTTTACTTCTTGAACTTTACCAGAATCGTGTTCTGTTATGGGATACTTCTAACCACTAACTTCTGGTACTATTCTGCCGATCAGTTGTTTCAACACTCAAAAAGTGTATGACAAAGAAGCATAAAAAACTCTAGTCAACAAGTATCTTAATGCAATGGCAAGTCTGATACCGATATAAGGGCAACAGCATTCCATAGTATAGTATCCTGTTTGGTTATGGAAGGTCCAATCATTTGTTATAACGTTTCAAAATCAGATGTTGACATTAGAGTAAAATTCACAAAAGATCTGTCAGACATTCGGAGATCACTTAAAATATCAATTCCTCTTCCTTCTCATTATATCATACACAGCACTAATCGCCACAACCTCTTTGAGAGACATTTCTATAAGCACTGACTACTGACTAGTGTGGCCTTCAAAAAGTTCCGCGACATGTCTCGGGACATTCTACGTATTAGTTGAGAGACATGTTGCGCAACATGACACTCCTTGCGTGCCCAAGTATATCCTACTAGGCTTTACTTAAATGATAATACTGATTTTAGTACGACCCAGGATACCAGGCTAATTGTTATTTTTCAGGTTCTGGTTGTATTTGTCACTATATTTAACGCTACATCTTAGAACATATATCGGGCATCATAATGTATTTCTCCAGTGATAACAACAAATTACCGCAACTTCATTTAGCAATAAATAAATATTAAAAAACTTACAAAACTGTTCGTCAATGTCTTATACAAATTTTGGAGGCCAGTCTCCTTTAGTGCAAACATGCGTATATTAACGCTTAAACAAATTCTACAAACTTCACCTTCACTAAATGTCATTGCTGTTCTATAGCTTTAAGCTTTTATTGAATTCTCTTTTTCATCAACAAACCGGACTTTTCTCTTGTTATTGTTTTTTGGAGTTTATGGCCTGGTTTCTAGACCTTTAGACCATTCCCTTGTTATTATTACAATTTATCACAGAATACAGACAATTTTTTATAATCACTGAACACTATTACTCCTAAAGTTTATAATGCGCCCAACGCGTAGTGTTTCTATATAATAGTTTGTGTTTTGTTTGTGGGCCACAAATTGTGGCCCAGCGTAAGCTCGGGCAAAAAATACCGATATGTTAGTGATGGGTCAACTCGAGTTGCGCTTAACTCGAGTTAACTCGATTTGTATCTCCCCAACTCGAGTTTGGGCTGCTGTACATGAAGGAATCAAGTGAGCCAACATTTAAAGTAAGAGCGCGATTCGTTCGTTGTGTGCGCGCTTTGAGTTTCAAATAGTATTTATTTAGTTACAGTCAAAACAATTTGTTATTTAGAGATTTATAATAGCTAAGTTACATATGTAATTTAATTTCATTTATAATTTTGATTAATTATGATCATTATAGCTACGTAAGTCACAGACCTATTATTGTAATACCTGAAAAGGGTGGTTAAGTTGTAAGATACATCATACTTTAAATTAACGCCAAACATTTAACTTAGAATAAATATTTTGAATTTGAAAGAGTTTGAACTTATTGAAGAATATTTTAACTGTGATAATTAAACTATTAATTGGTTATGTACTTACATCTTAAAGCTAGACTAATATTATTTCGTGAATGCTGCTATATAAGTTGTTTTGTTGTTAAATACAGGTACTTTAACTAATATTAAAACCAAAAATACATAAGTATGTGATACATACTAAATATACATTTTCATTTCAATACTACACAATAAGTTTGGTAATTATGGTTATCCCAACACTCCAAACCAAACTTTGTAGCTCACAAAGAATAACAAATTTATAAAAAAATAATTTCTAACAAATCCTTTACTCTGTTTCATACTGCTAACTCGATTTGCGTGAATTACAACTCGAGGTAACTCGAGTTGTAATTTTTCCAAATTGGCACATCTATACGATATATCGTCAATATTTTAAATCGCGATATATCGATATTTATTTTCGAGTATCGAATTTGTTTCAATTTCGATATATTTTAAAATGTATTAATGACAAAACATGTAACAACAAAAGGAGGTACATAAGTATTCATGTATGGTTGGTTGCCGTTTCCTTTTTCGTCGTCCAACCGTCAAAAATATAAAATTATGTACCTTATCTTTATATCATGCATATCGATCGATATATATCGACACTGTTTAAAAATGTCGATGCGATTTTTTTCACTTGCCTATCCATTAGCACTGCGCTCACATTTTTTAATAACTGGTTTTACGGCTCTGGGTTCTAGCCCTTCTGATCCTGAAGTTACATTATATAATTATCCTTCATAGTACACTGCTTCACAATATGTTGATGCGTCACATTGTGCAGCCCTTGGGAGATTTTAACGGCAACTTGAGCCAGCAGACAGCTGACAGTTGGCGATGGCATCTCAAGGCGCCTAAGCAGACAGACACCTTATTTTAAGAATCACATCACCATCAGAGCAGTTGTTTCACCGTTTACTACTGTCTACTAATAGTTCACATGCGCAGACACTTAATACACAAAATCGCACCACTTTTACATATCAAAATCCACTTCAAACCATTATTTAAACAATTGTGGCGGCGCTGTCGTCGCGTCACAAGCGAAACACATCGAAGCCTAAATCGCACTAACAAAGTTCCGAAGTTAAAGCAGCATATATAGAATAGCTCCGAACTACCAATCGGAGCGATGGCCGTTCCCCGGGCAGAACACCTTGCCCGGCGGGAGATCTCCCCTTTTCTTCCTACGGCCACACAGTAATACAGTAGCAGCAATCCGCTACCGGTCAAGTTCCCGCCAAAACTCAAGCGCCCACAAACTAACTAGTAGATTCTACTAGAATCAGACCATAGAAATAGTATTAAACTCGTAGACAGAGAAATATAGATAGACAAGACCTCAGCGTATGTCAGTAAGAGATAGCGATAGTTCGCCAAAATACATTACTACAATTACATGTAATTTAAATTGACATACTTAGACTTTTACCACCATAGTGTGGGTAATCTAGTTCTTTTTATTTCGGTTGTACAACGTCAACTACTAATTTAATTAATTTTATTTTCTATGGGGACGTATTTATGACTATTTGACTGTGCGCGAACTGAATGACTCCGGGATGAACATTAAGCGCGAAGAGAAATGAGTTGTAATGATCATTTTATTACAATTTATCTAAGATATCCTCTCAGAAGCCAATTTACATAATTTAGGACCGGGGTTTAGTAAGCTCGTGGGGCTTTCGAGTGTTACATTCTATATTTATAGCTCAACACGTAAATAGTACAATTAAATAAATCATAATCAACTCATAGCTCCGAATGTATTCAGTTCGTGCATGTTGTCCCTTAGCTAACAACACCGCATAAGTCATTTTTACCAACTTTACAGGAGACGAAAGAAAACTGTCCATTTTAAAAAATCGGCGGAAATTTTCTGTTGTTACTTAATAAATGCCCTAGTTAGCGGTTAAGGAATAATTATTTATAACTATTTTGACTATATACTTTATTTTAACTTTTATTTTATGACTTGAGCTGTGTTGACTGATATTTTATTAGATTTAGGTGGAGTTGTTTGCGGAAATGTTAGAGAATAAGGTATTAATAGATGATTTACAACGAAAAGTTTTTATTACGAAATATTTCAATAATAATTAACAATCGTTATAACATAGGTATCTATAACCTAAGTCTTGCGAATCACACGAATCTTTAGAGCGTATGTGCAATTTTTTATTGTTATTTTAATTAGTAAATATGAACTTCAAGCAATGGCTACAGATACAATGTTACCTGTGAGGACTAAAATGTAATGCATTACAGCCTGGCTCTTGATGTCCTTCAGCCTAGGATACATACTGCTGCTTGGTGGCAATAGAATAGAATAGAATAGAATTGAATAATTTTTATTCAATATTGATTATTACATAATACTTAAGCGATTCGTTGCGGCACCAATTTTCGACAACTTTTAGCTATGGCGGCGAACAAATATTTCATGACACGGCGGGCGTGTCAAGCGCCACAGACAAAAATGACACGCCTATTGTGCCCCATCCGCCATGTGTAAAAGTAATGTCCTTTTTTATGCTTTTTTTACTTGTTTAGACCTAATTAAGTTTATTTGACATCAAACATAAGTTACAAATGGAAGGATACTTGTTTTTAGTGGGTAACTACGTGTTTTTTTACGCGTTTTCTTTGAAATTGAAAGAAAGTGACTTTTTTTATGAAGCGATTACAAACCTTTTGTATTATTTTTTGTTGTTATAAAAAAATCATTTATTAAATAGGTACAGCTAAATCACCCTGGAAACCTTGGTTTTTATTAAATTAAATTTTCACCTAATAATAACATTTGTAAATATCAAACAATGAAGAACCTTAATTTGAAAGAAAAATAAGGTATATATCATTCATTGATATTTACAAATGTTAAATATTATGTAATGTTATACAAATGTAAAAGTAAAGTCGATCTGAAAACGTCTAATTAGTAAGAATAGCAAAACAAGTGTTTTCAAAAGGAAAAAAACGCCGGCGCTATACGGCGGCGGATTGACAAAAGACTATTTATTAGCGAACTTTTTTTATGCATGAACGGTTTAGAACTGTTTCAAGCAAAAATAAACCTTATACCATATCACAAGAGCACATGGTACTTCGTAGGTCTATTCGGCCATATGATAGTAATAACACGGCAGTTCAACCAATTTAAGCAAAATTAAACAAGACAAACGCATTGTTTTTTTTAACAGGAGACTTGTTTTCCAGAAATTTATTTACAACTTCAGTTTGTGAGCGATCGCAATGAGTGCTATTATTTGTTACTTATTAGACAATTTTTCCATAACATGATCCCGGGGGTCAATCAATTCGGTTCTTTGACATAAGTTGAACCTAACCTATTTTATTTGTTATCTGCCCTAATAGGTACTGTTAAATAAAACGAATTTCAATAAGAGATCATTTATCATGGTATCTTTCTTGTTTTTCATAAAATGGGTTTACATTTACATTATAAATAGAAACATAAAAAAATATAGATATTTTAGAAATCGATTTTTTGTGAACCAAACCGACCGAGCTTACGATTTGAATCGATTTAAAAATCGACCTTTTTCGGAAAGAATTGACATCTCTATTGACGTCGACATTTACATTACAAAATGGCGTCAGTTTTACGGTAGGATTAGACATAAACGTTGCAAGAATACTTGATTTTTAATAATTCTTTTCTCAAAAATTACGCGTTTCCGCGTGTTGAAACTTTGTGTGTGCTTATAATAGTGTAACTTTTCTGTAAAAATGCGTATCAACACCCAACTCGACGGACGTCAATGGAAAGCTAAGCCAAATCAGATGTCGACATTCGAGTAAAACTCACAAAAGATTTGTCAGACATTCGGAGATCACTTAAAATATCAATTCCTCTTTCTTCTCATTGTAGTAAGGAATTCTGCATCCACCACTTTCTCTTTCGCTTACGCTTCACTCCCGAAATTAGCACTACGTACACAGCACTAATCGCCACAACCTGCTCGGGCGACATTTCTATAAGCACTGACTAGTAGGCGTGTGTATCTCTTTACGGAAACGACTCACTGATACGAATCACTGAAGTGACACAAAAGATTGGTTCAGTAACAACGTTTCAAATGTATCATTTGTATCTGGAACAGTGAAACATTACTTTGCTCTTTGCTCATTTCGCGCGACGCATCGCTTGCGAGGCGACTGAGCCACGAGCGAGAGAGAGAGAGACTGAGACAATGATTAACTTAACTA